CATGCTTACGAGATTCGGGCTGAGAAAGAAATCAAGATATTTGGTGCTGTTCTCGGATATGCACCCATAATATAGCTCCGTCTGCTTATGGCTCCGCATGACTACCTCAGCCTAAAGACTTCTCAAACAGGGCTTTTTTTTGTTATTAGTATTTAACAAAAGAAAAAGGTTCAAACCTAGCTATGCTGTTATGCTTGTTCTTGTTACGTTGTCTACATGTTACTGCTGTTTTTATCTTTCGGTGTTGTCAACTTTTGTTATTATAAAAGTAAAATAAATTTTCAATTTGTACGTGTCAAACAGTGTGATTGCGCGGCATTTTACCGTGTCTCAAACCGTGATTCAAGTTCCATTTCTACTATTTTCTTCTCGCGAGAAGCCATGGTTTCTTCTGTTCTTTTTTTCACTCCATGTTCAGTTCTCCCCTTTCTTTTTCTAAGCCAAGCCGACAGATGACGGAGGAGAGGATGCACCGAGCATGCAGAAGAAAAATAAGATAAGGGTGCCGCGACGGAGAAAGACTACAACGGAGGCAGCAAAAACCATATATAACAAACAACCCGAGTTTCTCACAGATTAGGAGGTGGCCAATCAGTGAACAACACGTTAAATCAGCATCACCGCCAGCAGAATCAGAAGTTCTGTCACCACCGGAGAGCTGGAAAGTGCAATAGATTCCCATGTCCGTCTCTCCACCGTGAACTCCCAGCACCGACGCCGCATGCGTCTGTGAACGGTGGAGGAGGAGCAAAGGGAGGGCTTACGGGGAATGATTCATCGTCGTTTTCTGGGAGGTGGGGTGGTAATAGTAATTATTGTAACAGTTGGGGGCACTTTGGGAATAAGGGTCATATTATATGGGTAAAAAGGGAATTGTGTTTTTGGTGATAAGTGGCGGAGCAATATTTGCTTTCTCTGGAGCTTAGGTGATGGGTTGACTCAACTTGAAGGGCATCAAAAGTTGATTTTTTTGTGATTCTTTAGTGTTTTGTGTGATGGGTTTTTGTGGGTTTTGTATTTGGTGATTAATTTTGGGGGTTTTGATGCGAGTAGGCGATGCATTACCATCTGGGTCCGAAGGGTGAGACTGTTAAGAGTTTGGGGTTTCCAGTCTGGACAGGTTTGAGTTTTACCATTTTCAGCTTGAATTTTAGCTAATATTTTCAGCAGACATTGAAATTTATGAATGTGATTGAATTGTGATGTGCTGTGCTTTTGACCAGTTTTTTTTTTTTTTTTTTTGCGGGCATGGAGTACACAAGTGTATGCTTTGTTCGAGGGTAATTACTTGTTTTTTGCCGGTGCGCAAGTGATCTTTTTCTTTCTTGGGCTTGTATTATCCTTAAAAGTTCTATTGATGCTCATGTTCTCTCGTATCAAGACCTAATATCTCATTTCTGCATCAATTTGTTTGCTTTGGTGCAAGGAAGCAGGGACATTAATAAATGAAAGTAGCCATCCTTGGTCATTTTTGTGGTGGTAGGAGAGTTTGCGATGAAATAACTCGTCAGGGAAGAATATTGATGCAGAGGCAATATACATCGATTTTAGTTGACAGCGAGGCGCTTGAGGTGAAACCTTTTTTTTTTCACATGGTCTTTTTCATTGTTTTCCTTTTTTCTTTCTTGATTGTAACTTTAACATGAGACATTTATGTTGTTCTGCCTCCTTTTGTAATTTGTGCAGGCAAGATGGTACTGCTCAATTGTCAATTTTCAGCTCTATCTTGCGTTGACTTTACTGTTCCGTCTCCTTTGGGAATTCTTTGCAGGCAAAATGGTACAGCTCTACTGCCAATTTGCCAGCTTCACTTTGCTTTAATTCCACTGTTGTTTGTGCTTGGATTTTTACCAGTACCTGATGATTCAGGAAAAACGATTACTTCCATAAGGAAATATTCAGATTTTGCTTCCTTTTGAGCTTTATATATATAGTTCTACTACAACGTTACACCTTCATCCAGCTATTTTGCATTTTCCTTTTCGATATGCATTTTGATCCCCTTCCCCTGTTGGCAGCCCTTTCTTAAACAACTCGAGATTTCTCTTTCACTTGAAGGGAAATTAGGCTCCTACACGCATTTGCGTTGACGATTCAAACCATGATTTTTAGATTCATTTTCCTACATTTTTTACCTATAGACCATTGATTCATGCTATTGTCACGAACACTTGTTAGTTAACAAAAATCTAAAAGACCTCGGAGTGTGGCTTTTACCTGGATTCAAACAGTAATTTCAACTTTTCAGTTTCTCATTTTGCCTTTTACTGCAGATACAATTTCTTATCTTTTGCTCTCTTTCTTCTCTGTATATGTGGCTTCATCTCTACCGCATCCCCACCTTCTCTTTGCTTCAGATCGCGTTTTTCATTTCATCTCTTAATTTCTTTTTGTAAACCAGATCACTGGAAGAGAGAATAAGCACAAAGTTGTGGAGAGAATGATGATAGTGCTGCAGATGGCTTCTGAATCTGTGACTTTCACTCAATAAAAATATTAGAGCTTGGATGGTGTCTGTGAGGCTATAATAATTGTCTTTTAAAGTGTTTTTATTTTAGAAATATATTAAAATAATATTTTTTATTTTAAAAAAAATATTTTTGATATTAGCATATCAATAATTTTTTTTATTTTTTAAAAAATATTTTTGATATAAGCATATCAATAATTAAAAAAAAAAAACATCTCTTGAAATGCATTTCAAAATCACCTCCAAATAATCAAACTAGTTCTTGAATTGTTATCATCCTAACACAAATGCGAATTATTTACTAGTTCTTGAATAAACATTTAATGGTAGAATAATCTCTTAAAAAAAAAAGAATCTTTTAAATGATGTAAGCTTACTCCAATCCTCTTACAAAACTCACGGGTTGATTTGGCATCATTATAAATTGAGGCAAGCATCTCAAATCAACAAAATTAGGAGATATCAGTATATATTGTTATATAAGAGTTTTTGCACCGTGGAAGAATTTAACAAAATTTATTTTTATCCTTGCCAAGAAAGCCATGGACTACCCCACAACCCACTACTTTCACATTTTCTAGTTCGTCTCGTTTCACAAAGCTTTGCTCCTCATCAAATCACAGTTATTAAATCTGCCCATGTAATAGGTTTTCGTGGTTTAATCTGTTAACTTAGCCCGATGGAAGATAAATGGTACAAAGCTCAAATCTTTTAACTAGGCCCAATAATGATTTCAGCCACCAGCCCATAGGAAACAATATGTCCAAAACTTCAATTATTAGATGATAGCACAGACGTGGGGCAAAAACCGCGTAGCTTTGTTTGTGATGATCCAATGTTCAATACACTTTTATTATTATTATTATTATTTAGTTTTAATAGTTTATAAGATGTAATTATCATGATAAAACATGATATATGATAAAAATCCTCAAGATACAAGTTTTGAAAGCAAGACGTAAATATCATAAAACTCGATGGGAGGTTAACAATTCATTCATATTATGGTATTTCCTTTTATATTTGTACAACTCCACAATCTTTTGGAGATAAGCAACGTGAAAATTCATATAAAAAAATTAAGAAATACAAAACTTAATCACAAGATCATGTTGTAGAATATTGCTCAGCCACAGAATGCTCTATACCACCGAAAGAAAGAAAATATGGTTAGGTTATTTAAGTTAACATCCCACAAATAGAGGAAGAAATTATCACCTCCTCCTTCAAAACCAAAATAATTGACACATTATAATAGATTTTCAAATTAAAATTGATATAGAATTAATTTTGTTACTTTCCATAATTAATTCCTAGCATTTATTAGCCTTAATTATCTGCTGCAAAACAAAATTACAATCACAATTTTTTACTTTAAAATATATAATTTTTTTGTATAAATAAAAGTGATTTAGGTTAAAAAAGAAGTTTGTTAAAACTTTTTATTCATAAATGCATAAAAAAATAAGTTGATAAAAAATAATTATTTATAAGCAAAAACAATTATTTTACAAAAAATCCAAACCAAGCCTAAAATATAAATAAAAAATAATTATTTATAAACAATAAAAAAAACTCGAGGCACATGCCTAGTCGAGCGAGTGTGCATGTGTCTTAAATCAAAAGCCTACTTCACCCAGGTCCTCTTCATTCTAAAAATTTTAGTGCTCTGCAAGAATATTTTTAACTCTTTATCTTTTTATTATATAAACTATTAAAAAAAATTATATTTTACATGGGACTACAATAGGGTACTGGCTTGAGCTTACCCATATCAATCATTCATGAGAATTGTCTTCACTTCGAATATTGAAAATTGAATAATGTTATAAGCTCACAGTTTTTTTTTTTTTTTTTATTTACGTGGGCCAGCTTACGCGCACCATGACTAATCCTCACGGCCCACTGAACATCCTGCAAGCCCAGTGAGCAGGTAAGGCACCACGGGGGTGACAGACATGCATAGTAAAGTTCGAACCTAGGTGCGGAGTAAGGGGACAAACTACGGGGGTGACAGGCGTGCATGGTGAAGTTCGAACTCAGGTGCGGAGGAAGGGACAAGCCCCTCTCACCACTAGGCATGGTTTACCACAATTGCGTAACATACCTAAACATATATAAATTAACAGAATCCCCTGTGTTGTTTTGTTCAGGGATTCACTATTCCTGACATATTGAGGGGGGGAATCCCTTCTAATTCCCATATAGACTTTCTGGCTTTTTTCTGGATTGTTGCTGGTAAAATAATACTCAGTCGCCTAATGCCAGTTGCTGATATTGTTCTCACTTATCATCCCATGATGTGCATAAGAAGGGGGACATGAGCCAGCCGAGGTTCTTAGGCATATCAGCCCGGGGAAAAATAATAATACGAAGCTAAAATCTTTTAACTAAGCATAATAGTGATCTTAGGCACCAGCACACGGAAATCTAAAACTCCAAGAAACACAAAATATTATTATTATTAATTTTTGTAATTGCAAATATTGGATTAGTTTTTTATATACCTTCATTAATCTTTCAGTATCAAATATTATTATTATTAATTTTTGTAATTGTAAATATTTGAATCAGTTTTTTATATACCTTGATTAATCTTTCAGTATTTTAAAATTAACAACTATATAAACTTTTAATAAATTTTAAATTAATAAATTTTAAAAAAAAAATCAACAATCACACCAACTAAATAAATTTTTAATAACTTTAAAATTTATAATTTTAAAAATATAAATCAACAATCAGACCAACTAAGATATATCTCTTATAATTAAAACACAAAACTTTATTATTTGCTCATGTGTTGGGATAATGGTAGTGAACTAGGGTTAACGTTTCCAATCGCTCAGCCTCATAATGCTACATTGTAACCCCAAAAGAAAGGAATAAATCAAGGTTGGGTTATCTGAGATATCATCTCACAAATAAAGAACGAAATGATCAAGTGTCGTATCTAAAGCCTTTGACTCAAACTCAGAACTTCAGAAATTTGATTCTACTTGTCAATTCCATACAACCATGTCTGGACACTCAAACACATATTTTTTAATTTCGTGGCATGCCCAGCTTAAGCCGCTTCCCATGTGTTTTCGGACAATGGCTGTCGGCTCAAGTGGCGAGCGCAAAGCGAAATGAATTAACAGTATAAGAAATCTCCATCTGGGTCCCCTAGCTTGATACTTTCATCGAAACAAAATCATATGACAGATTATTTTATTACGAAACAGATTATTTTATTACGAACAACTTGAAAAAATGGAATCATCGTTTTAAAATAAAGTGATGTTTCACTTCATTTTGTTAATTCATTTCAACTGCGATGGGCACCTGACTTAGATTATCATATATGTATATATATTAGCCCATGAATGCATCAATTTGTTTATTTTTTTGGATAAGCAAATTAGAATGAATTTAACCATTTTGTCATTTGTTTGTGATAAAATAGTTTTTGTAAAAAATAAATTATTATAAAGTTTTTATGTTCGATAGTATAACAAATTAAATACAAGTTGGAAAATATTCTTTACTATTTAACTTACTCATTGAAAAATAAACTAAAATATAATTTATTAATATTTAAATTTTTTCTTCAAAGCATTAAAAAATAAATATAAATAATATATATTAAACATATTCATACATAAATAATTAACTTAATAATTTAAATTCTCAGTACCTCACTCACAGGAGTGGCTTGAGAATCTTTAAATACAGAAATGATAAAAGAAAAAGTTTCACAAAATTCTTCAAAGTTTGTCTTCACTTCAGAGGTCCTAACAATGACAAACATCGTCTTATATTAAACTCAAAGACGACACAATAAAGAATCTCCTGACCCACCCATGATTGAATGGCTGAGCTATGCCGTGGAGGAACTAGGCATGCCGTGGAAGAAGAAGTGGACCCCGGGAAAATCTCGCCGCCCCTGTTTGGAGTGGACCCCCGAACTAGGAACGTCTCGCCTCCCCCGTTTAGGCGTTGGTGGTCTTTTGACGTGGCCGACATATCACGTGCTTTCCTTATTGTTTTTTGTTTTTTTCCAGAGAAAATGCGTTCTGACTTTTTTATAAAACGCAAGAGCCAAGTGACGGGAAGTATTATTACCAAATAACTTCCAAGAGCCAAGAGCCAAGAGCCAATATCTCTGGTTTAATTAGTTAGGTTTTGATTTTTTTTAATAATAATATATTTAAGTTTTTTTAAATTTATTAAATATTTATATAATTATTAATTTTAAAACTTGTAAAATTAATTAAAATATATATAAACTCATATATTTCTATTAATAAAAAAATTTTAATAAACGACACAGCAAATCAGTTATAAAAATAAAAAGAGCTAGAGTTGCACCACAAATAGCAACAAAAATTACAATTAAACTTATATTTGTTCATTGAAGATTTTCTCGGTGCTGAGAATAAACATGTGATAAAAATATTAAATAGTGAGAGTTTTATCAAAAGCACTAGTAAAAATTAAAACAAAAACACATTTCTATCTAAGGATGAATAAAAAAAGAAAAAAAACACTATAAAACACTATTATAATTTATAATAACTTTTCTTTTGCTGAAAAGTGAAAAAGTCATGCCCATTATTATTTTAACTTATATTTGAATTGTAATTTAATAATATAATATACTAAGAAGTTGTTTATATAATAATTGTTTTTTAAAATATATTAAATAACATATTTTTATTTTTAATATTTTATTTTTAATAGGAATACATTAAACAATTTTAAAATAAAAAAATAATTTAAATCTATATTTTTTAATTTCGGCTATCTTCTTGGCTGCATTAGCAAACGGGCTTCTAAGAACCCCACCAAGCACTTGAATTTCCAAAATATATTTAAAAACCGTGACAGTGTCCCTTCGGTCACTCAATTGGTCTTGAAAAATGGCGAGATTATCAAAGGTACTTAGAAAGACTGATATTAAAAAAAAAATACGTATTTTTGTTTCATGTTTTAAAAATATTTTTAACATGTTATTTTTTTTTTGTGTGTGTATATATATATATATAGATAGATAGATAGATGCTGGAGTATACACGAGACACGCAGCGGACAAAATCTCAGTCCTCTCCAAGTGTTCCTTAATGGCGAGATTCTCAAGTGTCCCCAGGTGGGCATTTGTTTACATGATAATTTTAACTTTTTAAAGTACACTGTCTACCTTAGATGTTTCGTAATTTAAAAAAGCAATTTATTATTTGATGGGATACATAAATATCTTTCTCAAATTTATATTTTATACACAGCTTTCGTGTAATTCACTTGAATACTACTCACAATAGTATCCATAACAATGTAAATTATATAACTCATTTACAACATAAAAAAGTATTCAATTAGCAGTGTTCATGTAAATAGTATTAGGTAATTTTTGTTTTTGATATTATTAACATAAACAATGTTTATAGGATCATATCTGAAAAAATTATTTTTTTTAAATTGTATTTTACTTAAAAAACTAATATTTAATATTATTTGATAATACTATATAAATTAAAAGAACATCACATAATGATATAGTATTTGTGAAATTTAATTATAATTCTAATTTTTTTATAATATTTTATCTGATTTTATTATATAAACTATAGTCTTCATTACATTTTTTTATAATATTTTATCTGATTTTATTGTATAAACTATAGTCTTTGAATTTTACACATAATAAAATTATAGATAAATAAATAGAATAATAAAAAATATTTGATATAAATCTTAGTTATTTAATGATATAATAATAGTAGTTAAATTATAATATTTAAATTAAAAATTATTAATATTAAATATATTTTATAATTATTTTATAATCTTAATTTTTAAATATATTAAATTAAATATATTAAATTATTTTTTATTTAATCTTAATTTTAAGAATAATTTTAGTGCGGATGTTGTTGACTTTAACTCTGTTAATAGACACTATTGTTCATTTATATATTCTTGATTGTAATGTTATAGTATGGTAAATCCAATTTTTATTTGCTTATCAAGTTATATTTTACATATTATTAATATTATTAATGGATATGTTAGTATAAATTAGCGATGATTATATTTTATTAATAATTTTATCTATAATATTTATATATTATATAAAAAAACTATTGGTCAATATGAAGAGAAATATTGATATTATTTATATATTATATTTTATTAATAATTCTATCTATAATATTTATATATTATATAAAAACAATTATTGGTCAATATCAAGAGAAATATTGACATTATTTTTCATAAATATTTGGTGGCATTCATGATAATTTTAAAAATAACAATTATTTCTTTTCCAATAAGATTCAATGAACAAAACATATTAATATCATTAAGGATAATTACAAAACCTAAGTGCAAAAAATCAAGAGAGTAATGTTAATGTTGTAATATAATTATAGATTTAAAACATGACTCGATAGATCGGGATTCATTATATTTGAAGTTGAATTTTTTAAAACTAAAATAATATTATTTTATTTTTTAAAAATATCAGAATTAAATAATAATATAACATCAAGTATATAGTTGGTTATTTTTCAAATAATTTTTTATGTTAAAATATATATCAATAATTTTTTTATTTTTTTAAAATTATTTTTAATATTATCATATCAAAACAATTAAAAATATATTAAAAATATTAAATTTTAATTATAAAAGATTTAAATTTTTAAACTTGATTCCCACTACGTTACCAAACGGTGATTATACGCTCACGTTCCAGTCTTTCATGAGATCAAGAATAGTGATTGCGCCTGTCCCAGTCATTCCCTGTCCTAAAGACTTTGCGGCCGTCTGAGGACTTTACAGGTGACAAGTTAAAACTACCGGAATATTCCATATTCAGTCACCATTATACTAAAAAATGAAATAAAAACACGTTTTTGTAATATACTAAATTAAAGAATCCCACCAAGCACTTGAATTTCAAAAATATATGCAAACACTGCCGGCTTGAGTCGAAAACTATGAGGAAACAAAAAAAATACTACCCCACAGAACACACGCATATTCTTGATTTCTCGTGACTTAACGACAGAGGTTCGCCATCGCCATGCATTATAAATAGATGCTAAGTATACACGAGGCACAGAGCACACAAAATCTCCTCTCCAAGTGTACCCTATGAACACTCACTTGGTCTTTATAAATGGCGAGATTCTCAAAGGCACTCAGGAAGACCGATATTAAAAAGAGACTCTCAGTGCCGACCGGGTTTCTCAGCTCTCTTCCATCTTTTAACGGCGGTGGTCATGCTGTAGATTTTGAAGCTGTAGATGGAAGTGGCCGTGTTTGGGCCTTCAGATGCTCAATTCGCAAGAAAGGACATCCAAAACCAGTTATTTCAAAGGGCTGGCTCGCTTTTGTTGCTAGCAAGAGCCTTAAAGTTGGTGACAAGGTCCAGTTTTTAAAGGAGAAAAACGAAGCAGGCGCCAAAACACATGCTTACGAGATTCGGGCTGAGAAAGAAATCAAGATATTTGGTGCTGTTTTCGGATATGCAACCATAATATAGCTTCGCTTCCGTGCATTAGGGCTAATAAGAGTAGTCTGCTTCTGGCTCGGCATGACTACCTCAGCCTAAGGACTTCTCAAAGTATTTGTATTTAACAAAAGAAAAAAAATAAATAGATGCTAAGTATACACGAGGCACAGAGCACACAAAATCTCCTCTCCAAGTGTACCCTATGAACACTCACTTGGTCTTTATAAATGGCGAGATTCTCAAAGGCACTCAGGAAGACCGATATTAAAAAGAGACTCTCAGTGCCGACCGGGTTTCTCAGCTCTCTTCCATCTTTTAACGGCGGTGGTCATGCTGTAGATTTTGAAGCTGTAGATGGAAGTGGCCGTGTTTGGGCCTTCAGATGCTCAATTCGCAAGAAAGGACATCCAAAACCAGTTATTTCAAAGGGCTGGCTCGCTTTTGTTGCTAGCAAGAGCCTTAAAGTTGGTGACAAGGTCCAGTTTTTAAAGGAGAAAAACGAAGCAGGGGCCAAAACACATGCTTACGAGATTCGGGCTGAGAAAGAAATCAAGATATTTGGTGCTGTTCTCGGATATGCACCCATAATATAGCTCCGTCTGCTTATGGCTCCGCATGACTACCTCAGCCTAAAGACTTCGCAAACAGGGCTTTTTTGTGGTATTAGTATTTAACAAAAGAAAAAAGTTCAAACCTAGCTATGTTGCTGTTGTGCTTGTTCTTGTTACGTTATCTACATGTTACTGCTGTTTTTATCTTTCGGTGTTGTCAACTTTTGTTATTATAAAAGTAAAATAAATTTTCAATTTGTACGTGTCAAAGAGTGTGATTGCGCGGCATTTTACCGTGTCTCAAACCGTGATTCAAGTTCCATTTCTACTATTTTCTTCTCGCGAGAAGCCATGGTTTCTTCTGTTCTTTTTTTCACTCCATGTTCAGTTCTCCCCTTTCTTTTTCTAACCAAACCGACAGATTACAGAGGAGAGGATGCACCGAGCAGGCAGAAGAAAAATGAAAGAAGGGTGCCGCGACGGAGAAAGACTACAACCGAGGCGGCAGCACCATCACAAACAAGCGAGTTTCTCACAGGTTAGATAGGAGGTGGCCAATCACTGAACAACACGTTAAATCAGCATCCCCACCAGCAGAATCAGATGGTCTGTCACCACCGGAGAGCTGGAAAGTGCAATAGATTCCCATGTTGTCTCTCCACCATGAACTCCTAGCACCGCCGCCAATTCACCTGTGAACGGTGGAGGAGGAGGAGCGAAGAGAGGGTTTATCGGGGATGATTCGTAGATAAACCCTTCCCCTGTTAGCAGCCCTTTCTTAAACAACTCAAGATTTCTTTTGCACTTGAAGGGACATTAGGCTCCCACACATTTGCGTTGACGATTCAAACCATGATTTTTAGATTCTTTTCCCTACATTTTCCACCTATAGACCATTGATTCATGCTATGGTTGCGCCACTATGATACGGACTCCAAGTTATTATGGCGGAGCACGTGGAGATTTAACATCATGTGATGATGGGAATGGAAACCAGAAGCACGACCGGGGTCTTCGTGGACCAGGATAATTAAACCATCAATAACAGTAACGTAAGCATAAGACTTTTTGGTAGTACCGGTGAACCAGATGGCCGCGGCAATAGAATCTGGGCCGGGGGACTCGTAGTATCTCTCTAGATCTGGCAAAAGCGAAAGACCCCTAACGTAATTCGAATGGGGGCTGACCGCTGAGCCCACTCTGGCCTCGCATGGCGGGGCCCCGTCCCGTGGTTGCGAGCTGGAGCTGCCATAGCTTATGGATCGAGCAATAGTGGGCCCCAGCAGGGAGTGCAGTCAGGATAACAAGCTCTCCGCCAGGCAAGCGGGCGGCAAGAGCAGCGGACAAATGCTTGGCAGGCCAACAGCCACCAATTAACAAAAATCTAAAATAGCTCCGAGTGTGTCTTGCACCTGGATTCAAATAGTAATTTCAATTTTGCAGTTTCTCATTTTGCTTTTTACTGCAGATTCAATCTCTCATCTTTTGCTCACTTTTTTCTTTGTACATGCGGCTTCTCCTCCACCGCATCCCCACCTTCTCTTCACCTCAGATCGCTATTTTCAATTCATCTTTCTTTCTGTAAACCGGATCAGTGGAAGAGAGAATAAGCACAAAGTTGTGGAGAGAATGATGATGGCATCTGAATCACTCAAAAAAAATATTAGAGATAGGAGGGTGAATGCTAGAATGATAGCGATTGTTATTTAACATATTTTTATTTTAAAAATATATTAAAATAATTTTTTTATTTAAAAAAATATTTTTAATATTAATATATCAATTAAATTTTTTTTTAACACAGACCTCTATCTCATCCATTCAAACTATTGTTATCATCTTAACATTTATATAAATACAAACATGTATTTCAAATACAATTAAACCTATGTTTTAAATACAATTAAGATGATATTTGTTTATACCGCTATAGCTATATTTTAATTAAAATATAGTTTGTAGTCGTTTAATAAAAAAAAATCGATTTATTGTACATGGATCTCATACAATTTTTACGATTGAAACACAATTAATAAAAACAAAGAAATATTATTTATTCACTGTTTACGTTAATTGCACTGTTCAGTGAAAAATAAAATTCACTTGCACTGTTCATATAAATTTTTTATTGTTATTATTTTTAGAGTTCATAAAAACATTTTTAACCAAACACATTAAACTACTTTTTCTTTAACTTCAATTTTAACTACAATTTTAACCAAACACCTATTTTTTCAAACCAATCTTAACTAAAATTATTTTTATAAAATAATTTTTTTAAATTATAATTACAATATTTACCGCAATACCAAACACATTCTAAATACTTTTTTTTTACTCTCCCACACCAAGGTAATTAGGCATCTTAGCCCAATGGAAGATAAATATTGGAAAGCTCAAATCTTTTAACTAAGCCCAATAATGATTTCAGCCACCAGCCCATAGGAAACAAGATGAAGTCCAATTATTAGATGCGAGCACAGACGTAGGGCAAAAACCATTAGGGCGTAGCTTTGTTTATGACAATCCCTCACATGTTCAATACTCTTCTTGTTTTTTTTTTTTTGAAGTTTTAATAGTTTATAAGATGTAATTATCATGATATATGATAAGAATCCTCGAGATACAACTTTTGTAAGCAAGATGTAAATATCATAAAACTCGATGGGAGGTTAACGATTGGTATTTCCTTCTATATTTGTACAATACCACAATCTCTTGGGGATAAGCAACGTGAAAATTCATATATAAAAAAATTAAAAAAATACAAAACTTGATCACAAGATCATGCTGTAGAATTTTGCTCAGCCTCGGAATGCTATGTACCACCGAAAGAAAGAGAATGTGATTAGGTTATTTAAGTTAACATCCCCCACAAGAAGAAGAGGAAGAAATTTTCAATTTGTCATCTTTCAAGCCTTTGAATCAAAGTCAAAACTTTAGAAATCTGATTCAATATAAACCATTTCTTGCTCTCAAATGTTTTCAATCTCTGTTGTGGACTAGTTAAATCTAAAATATGCACCTTATGATCTAAATAATTTATTGACAAACTGAGCTAGACTGTTCAATGTATGTACATATAGCTTTTGCTTTCTTTCATATGACTTCTTTTACAATAAGATTCCAAAAGATTTAATGAACACCATTCTTTTACAATAAGATTCCAAAAGATTTAATGAGTGCTCGATAATATCGTTAAAAAAATTATTATTAATAATTGCTCATATAAGCAATAAAATATTTTAATATATATTTTTATTTACTTGATTAACAATTTTATACTTAACGTAGAAATCCCGTAAAGTTATCATGGATGACAAATAATATATTATTTACGGGTGAAAAAAAGGGTCTAGGTGATCAGATTTCTCTCGGGTCCACACACATGAGCTTTTGTTAAAATGCATATAATTTCTTTGATTAACTATTTTGGTTTTTTTGTCATTTTTTAATTTTTATTTAATATGATATTTTTATTTAATTTTATTCTTCATCAATAGTTGATTTACATTGATTTTTATATTTTTTATCATATAATAAAAGTTTTTTTTTATTTTTTTCCAACTTGATTCTTTAATAAAAGATTAAAAAGAAATATATTTGGGTTTTTTTATCTTTTTATATGATTCTTTTCCTAAAATTTATAATTTAGTATAAGTTTTTTACTTCGTTTTATTATTTAGTATTGCATTATTTTTTTTGGATCTATCCTTGAAAAAAGTTATTTTAAAAAAAAATCACTTAATTTAATTCAAAACTTGTACTAAGCAAATAACTGGATGGAGATTTTTCGAATTTAAACTATGATGGAAGTTTTATGACACAACTATTTTCAACAATTTAAATGTTATTTTTTTTACACTTTTTTTTTTAATCCAACCTGCAGCAAGATAAGATGTTCAATCTCCCGCCTTCCCTTTTTAAATTTTTGAATTATTCTCTCTAATTTTGCATCAGTAACAATTATTTTAATTCATCGAATTGTCATTAATAGAGCTTATTAGAACCTATGGCTGCTCCTTAATTAAGTTGATGTTGAATTTCCGTAGGATTAGGCTGGAAATTCACGGAAGAAGTAGTGGTTTAACGTGTGTTTAAGATGAAATAAAAATTATTTTAAAAAATATTTTTATAAAAATATTTTTTTATTTAACCAAGTGAGGACCTGTATCCTGTGTAAAGAAATTTAAACTCTTTTAGTGTGAAATACATATTTTATATATGACCCTTACAAAAAAATAAATTAAACGCCGCCTGAAAAATTATCCTAGTTTTGGCCAATCCTACAGACCCTTGCCCTTTCCATGATAGACAGATTTGCGATATTCTTTATCATTTATTTCATAGGACACCTTTTCAAATGAGCTTTTGATAAATCTATTTTTGGATTGCGTAGCTGCCTTACTTTAATTGTGTATCTTTGTACTACAGTATTTTTAAAATGAATGAATAAAATAATATAATCTAAAAAATATTTTTAAAAAATAATATAATTTAAAGAGTCAAGGATAATAATTCAAACTTGCGAATTATAAGTGTCATTAATGACTTTTTTCAAATTTAAAAATGGTTAGATATAATTTACAATAAAAAATATAAATAATAAAAGAAAAAAGAAAAAACCTTATAAATATAACAAAACTCCAATTATAATTGCTATCATAAAAAATATATTAATAAAATAAATCTATTATATTTTAAAAATTCATTATTTATAATTTTTTTATATTATTGTTATTAAACTTATCTCTTTGAAATCTTTCCAAGACGTGATATCGACCACATTTTTGGTGTATCATAGGGTTTTTCTTTCTTTCTATCTTTGCTGTTTTGTATTTCTTTTTTAAGTGATTAAAAAGAAAAAAAAAACTCTACTTAATTGCTAATAAGCTGTCGGTATCAAACTGGTTAGTTGCCAAATAAACTAGCTACAAGTCTAGATAACGTGTTCAAAGTTTTGAAATGACTGAGACCTGGGAACTGGTGGGCGCAAGGGCTCTAGGGAGACCATCATCATTTATTGATTGCTTATATTAAAATTTGATGTGACCCAAAAGCTCTCTATTCCATGTTATTGATCTTGAATTGAATGACATGTAAAGAATAACAATAAAAATATTTTAGAAAGAAAGAAAAGGCATTCCAACATCTAAGAAACCCTAGGAGCCTAGAAAAATATTATTAATAAACAAGTTCCCAGAGAGTCAACTGCAAGCCCCCCTGAAGAAATAGCACAAACAACTTGTATCAAATCAATTATAAAATTAAAACCAGCTAGACTCGCCCCCCGAATAGTAAGAAAAATTACAATTAAAAATATATTTGTTCAATGGGAACACATTTAGTCGGTGGATGACTTTTACAAATTATCAGGGGTGTGCTTGTTTTAATGGTTGATTTTGTGTTTGCTGTTGGATACAATTCCTAACGGTATAAAACATAATTTTTATTGTTGTATTTTTTATTTTATATATAT